TGTAGTCTTTTTTTTTTTTAATTAAAACTTTTTTTTAGGTTTTTGCCATAAGGCAAGTGCTCGCCAGAGAGCGACAGAGAGGGACAGAGAGAAGGAATGTGAGAAATCACCCCAGGGGGGATGGCCACGCTGTAGTCCCTTCTCCTCCTTTCTCCTCTTGGGATTCTGGGCACACAAGCACACGCACCTGGCGTGATTTTCAAGCTACTAGATCTGGGACTTGGAGTGGGTCTGGGACTCAAACAGTGATCAGCCATGTGGCAGTTTTGTGACTTAATCACATGCCACCTGCTGGCCCCTATATTCTTTTTTATATAGTATAATTTTAGAAGTAAAATTTAAGATATCAGAAAAAAATATTCAAATTATTGTAATTCTTCATTACTTGGCTTGTATTTCCAATTCTTTAATAATGTATTTTTAAAAAATATTATTTATTTAATTTTATTTGTTATTATTTTTAAAATTTTATTTATGGTTGTTATTATCTTTTTAATTTGACCAGAGAGAGATAGAAAGAGCAGAAACAGAAAGTAAGCCACCAGATCCAGGACTTGAAACGTGCTCAGCCACATGGGAGTCTAGCGCCTTAACCACCACACCACCTGGTGGCCTTGTATTTGTTATTATTTTAAAAAATGTATTATAGGGCACATGAGCTCACCAGAGAGAGGGAGAGAAAGCCAGTCATCAGGCCTGGGACTTGAACTGTGGTTGGCCATGTGGGAGTTCAGTGCGTTAACCAGCATGCCACCTATTGGCCCTGGCCTATAATAATCTTTATCATCTCCTTAAACCTTTCCAATGCAGTTTCCTCTTTGAATTCTAGATTCTAAACCAGGCATTGACCACGTTGAGAATTTATCATGTGCGATATTTTCTCATTTGTGCATCTCATTTCTGCTCTTTTACCCACACAGATACATACACGCACATTTGGGGTGTGTGTTTAGAACAGGCCCTACTACCACTGGATGACACAATGGATCTCTTCCTGTTAGACTTACAGACACACTGCTTTACTTCTCTTCTGCTTAGAGAACTTAACTTACATTTACCCGGGCAATATCAAGTATTCTAGGGAATAAATTTTATGGATGGATGGACACTGTTTACTTGGTGAATGGTGGTTGTTCCTCTGAAATGTTTCAATTGGCGTTTCAATAGAATATTACCCAGCATAGCCAAAAGTCTGCATTTGTGTTCAAATTAAATTTAGTAGCTAAAATTATTTTTTGAGAGGTTTTTGCTATAGGGCACATGCACTTGCCAGAAAGAGACAGAGACAGAAAGCGAGAAATCACCCCCCAGGGGGGATGGCCACACAGTAATCCCTTCTACTCCATTTTCCTCTTGGGATCTTGGGCACGCATGCACATACACGTGCCCGGCGTGCGTTTAAACCACCAGGTCCGGGACTGGAACCACGGTCGACTACATGGGAGTCCAGCAACATAGCCATTACGCCAACTGCTGGTCTCTATATTTGACCATTTTAATCTTAATGTAAGAAAACTAAAGTTCACTATTTCAACTCCAGAGGGAAACAAAACACGTGTAAGATTTGTGTTTGTATCAGGCTGTCTGCTGGCTGGTGTGAGGGGTATGGACTATCACAGAAATTCAAGCATGGACTGTAATATGGCTGGGACTATGAGATTCAAAGGTGAAGAGAACCTTTGGAATCAGAATACCAGAGCTGTTCACAGGTGCTGGCAGAACTGCACTCTGGCGCTGGCCTTGGGGACGGAGCTGCTCTTCGAGGGCCTCTGTCCATTCTCATCCAGTCGCCACTCAGAGTTTCTGCTCACTCTTACTTTTGGCCACCAGACCCCAGCCCCTCATATAGTCCCTCCTCTCAGCCCCAACAGTAATTGGTGTTTCTTAGTTCACATTTCTGACGTGGAGGATCTGTTGCTTACCTTATTTCTAGTTAAGTTCACCAATTTGTGCATTAGCTGCTTTGAGTCAACCCCTCTCTCTTCATCCCCTAGAGAATGGGGAGGCAGGCAGTCACTTCATACATTTTAGATGGAGCATTTTCTCTTCAAAAATGAGCAGGCGTCATGACCAGTAGTAAACTCAGAGCTCCACCTGCTGTTGTGTTGTGTTGTGTTGGATTTTGTTGTGTTGTGAAATGCCATCCCCCACTCCTTAGATGCATTCCTCGCTCTGTCTCTGTGCTCTTTGAGCACTTCGTTTTCTTCTTCACAGTGGCACTTACCAGGTTGATTGCAAATTATGTGCTTAAATATTTATCATTCTACTGAATGATATGCTTTTGAAGATTGGCACCATGTTTTATTCATCTGCATATCTTTAGCATCTGACACATAATAGCTGGTGTCGCGTATGTGGGAATTGAATTGTTGATGACTTTCCCAGCTGATGCAGTATGAAGGTATCAAACTCTTAGTATTTTTTCCTCACATTTTCTGTTTCCTTAAAATAAGGCAGTTAGCTACGTAGAGGGTGGGAGATAGGGAAAAGGATAGTACTTTAATGAAGGAAGCTAATTTGTAATGTGGAGGCTTGAGTTGTCATTTCATATTAAGTCAGGGATATGACATGGATAAAGCATAGACTGTTGTGAGGAGCCTCATAATCTAGTAGGGACAGCAAACTTGTAAGACATAGTTGTGATGTAGTGTTATAAATTAATTAAAATTGTGTTCTAGGTGTGATGGTCACACGGAGAAGAGTAATCACCAGTTCGTGGGATGGTCAGGAATGACTTTAGATAAGAGACTGTTCTTGAACTGCGTCTTAAAGAAGGAACAGTAAAAGTTGGTCACATGAACTAGGTGCTGGGGAAAATAGGTACATTGATAATTAGGAGTTGGAGAGCAATTTAGGAAAAAGAAAGTGGGCCATGCAGAGCTTAACAACATTGCCATGGTTCTGGAAATTTGTGAATAAACAAAGCAGCTTTTCTCCTTTGTGGAAATATTCAATAGATTCTAATGGAGAGAGGAGTGAAAAAATGGGAAGTAAATATATAGGATATCAGATGGTGAAAAAAAGCATGTTGGAGAAAAATATAGCTAGGAGGCTGGTAGGTGCTGAGAAGAGCAGAACTTGCTGTCATTTCTTGGTAGGTTGTGGACAGCTTCATGAGGAAGGTGACATTTGAGCTGAGAGCTGAAGACTATGAGAAGAGCCCATACCAGGTAACCAGGCAAAGAGTATTCCAAACAGGAGGAATAATTCAGCTCAGATCCCTGAATCCTCATGAGGGTTTTTAGGATCCTCCTTGGAAGAGCTCTTCTATAACCATGGCTCTTCCTCAGCAGACACAGCGACGCACATGGTGGTGAGCTCCAGGACTGGCCCTTGTAGCTCCCCACAGCAGTAACTCACCTGATCTGCGCAGTCTGTCTCTTGAGTCCACTCTTCCTCAGTCTCTCAATTCAGATATTCTCTGGCCTCATCCGTGATCTCACTCAATCTTAGACATTACTTTAAAAATGTCAGTTGTCAACTTCCTGCATAAATTTCTCTAGTAGTTTCTCATTATCATCTCATGGTATAAAAGCCACACCACCTAGCTTGCTGGTAAAGGCCTAGCTTGCCAGTTCAATTTTTGCTCTTTCCATTTCTCCTCTGTGAACTTTCTTACTTTCAGTCTTTGTGTAGGTATTCTCTCATTATTTGCCATATTTACACTTAATATAATTTTAGTTTTCTCTATCCTACCATGATAATTCCTGATTGTCATTTTGCTAAAACTTTAAGCTTATTTATTTCTTCCATGAATATGAGAGACAGATAGGAGGTGGCAGGGAAGGGTTGGCAAGAGAGAGAACAGAGAGATAGCACGCCCTGTAGGGCCTTGCACTGTGATCCACCCCCAGCTTGAGCCTGACCTGGATCACAGGCATGTGCCCCACGTATTCGAGGAGGCCTCTGGATTTGAACCAGAAACCTTCCCACATGGGATTACCTTGCAGAGTGTTGTGTTTGACCACTGTGCCACTGTCTAGCCCCTTGTTTGTTGTTTAAGACCCAAATCGAGTGTCACCTTTTTTGGTACTTGATCTGCCTTTGTCTTTCAGAAAGCATGCAGGTATTATGGTACTTACTGTGTTATAGAAATTTTCTTCTCTTAATTGGTGGTGCACTTGCCAGAGAGAAAAGGAGAGAGGGAGAGAGAGAGGGAGGGAGGGAGGGATTCCTGATTGTCATTTTGCTAAAACTTTAAGCTTATTTATTTCTTCCATGAATATGAGAGACAGATAGGAGGTGGCAGGGAAGGGTTGGCAAGAGAGAGAACAGAGAGATAGCACGCCCTGTAGGGCCTTGCACTGTGATCCACCCCCAGCTTGAGCCTGACCTGGATCACAGGCATGTGCCCCACGTATTCGAGGAGGCCTCTGGATTTGAACCAGAAACCTTCCCACATGGGATTACCTTGCAGAGTGTTGTGTTTGACCACTGTGCCACTGTCTAGCCCCTTGTTTGTTGTTTAAGACCCAAATCGAGTGTCACCTTTTTTGGTACTTGATCTGCCTTTGTCTTTCAGAAAGCATGCAGGTATTATGGTACTTACTGTGTTATAGAAATTTTCTTCTCTTAATTGGTGGTGCACTTGCCAGAGAGAAAAGGAGAGAGGGAGAGAGGGAGAGAGAGAGGGAGGGAGGGAGGGAGGGAGGGAGAGAAAATGAACCCTAAACAGGGCGCAGCCACACCCAGTCCTTCCCCACATTTCTGCATCCTGACAGCCTGGAGAGTTCTACAAGCCACTTGAGCTGAGGTTCAAGCCGCTGGGGCTGAGCTCTGGGCCTGGCTCCCTCTGTCCATACCCCTCTGCCCGTTGCGGGCTGGCCCGGTGTGCGGGGTGTTCTTTGTTCCTGTGTGCTCTCCACCGGACTGTATCCTGAGGGTACAGGCTCCATCCTTTTGTTCCCAACCTGGCTTCTCGTCTGGTGTCTGCTGTAGGTGTTCATGAATGTCTCTTGCATGAAAAAATAAACTCTTCTGAATTGTCAATTATTTTTCAGATTCGATACATTTCTCAGACTCAAGGTTTACCAGGGGAGCAGTTGTTAAACGTGGGTACGAAATCAACAAGATTTTTTTGCCGAGAAACAGATATGGCTCATTCTGGTTGGAGATTAAAGGTAATGCATGACAAATATAATATTTAGGAAAACAGTTTTGTGAAATATCTCGTATGCTTGGATGATGCCTTCCATTTCAATTTTATTTTATTGCATTTCTTCTTTCTTCGGAATCGTCATTTCTGATCCTTTCTTATTTAAGAAGAAAATGCTCAGATGTTAGTTCATTCTCTAATCTGACATCATTCTTAGGAACTCATTTAATTTTTTAAACTTCTATGTGTATAACTATATTTCTGTGTTTCATGTTTACTTCCTCCACTCGTTTTTACCTTATTGATAGGACAGGGACTTAGCCGCTGATTTCATGTCCCAAACACTTTAGGATCTTTGGGGAGTCACTAAACCCTTTATGATTAACTTCATAATTAGTTATTTTGTTCAGGGGGCTTGTTATATATGTAATAGTTTTCTTGGCCTGGACCAAGCTTTTCTCAGTTTTGTTTTTTGGGTACTTTTTCCATATTTGATAGTTATTCTTATGCAACTACTTCTTGCCTTAAAATATTCAATATATTAGACTAAATGTACCAGGATTAATGACTAGAAGTATACACATGATGGGTAATGGTGTATTATTTTTCCTCTCTGACATACGCTACAAGACACTGGAAGAGCATGAGGCAGAGACGGGAATGAAGTCTAAAGAAGCCAGGAAGTACATATTCAGCAGCCTGGATGACATAGTGCATGTGAGTCCGCTGTCGGGGCTGTTGACCTTCACATGGGTAGGACTGGAGACAAACACCGAGGGTGCCAGACGTGTCACCCCTTTTCTCAACGACTGCAGACTGTTCAAGGTTTTTAAGTTTTCATACAAAATCGATAAGAGTTTTCAACTTTCCAGGAACCAAATTACCTTTATCATGTTTTGCTTATGTGGGTTTTTTAATAAAAGTATTTCACTCTAGAGGAAAAATTCTAGCAAACATTTTTTCTCCTTCAATCATTTTTCCTTAATTCAGAAAAACTATTTCCTTGTTCTTCCCTTTGTTTTAATTTTATTTTAAACAGTGAAACTTTAACATAAACTACTCTCTATGGCTTATTTTTATTTGATGACCTGAAATTGTACATTTCTTAGGTGAATACAGTGATGGATTTGGAAGGAAGTGATCTTTTGGCTGAGAAAGCTGACAGAAGAGAATTCGTTAGTTTGTTAAAGAAGATGCTGCTGATTGATGCGGATTTGAGAATTACTCCAGCTGAGACTCTGAACCATCCTTTTGTTAATATGAAACATCTTCTAGATTTCCCTCACAGCAATCAGTACGTTACTTTAAAATCTTTTAAAAAGGTCGTGGAAAAATAATAATTTTTGCATAGGAAAAATGCATCTTGACATTTCTGACAACCTAATCATTCTGTAGAAAATCAGAGTGTTAGAAAAATGTTTTAATTTCTTCACTAAATATAAGCAAACTGAGTTGAAAGAGGTTCCGTTGACTAGACCAAGTTCACAGAAATTAGTCGGGGCAGAGAACAGGACTGCAGTCCAAATTGTAATCTTACGTTCTTCCTCCATTGTACTGTACTCAGAGTAAGGCTGAATTGTTTTATATTTACACGTGATGTTCTTACCTCAGTAACTGGGCCTACAGGTGGCATGGTGGTTAGGGCACTGGACTCCCACTTGACTGATCCTGGTTCAAGTCTTGGACCTGGTGGCCTGTTTTCTTGCTTTCTCTCTCTCTCTCTCTCTCTCTGATAAATGCATGTACCCTGAAGCAAATAAAAAACTAATAATAGGGATAATAAAATTAAATTCGTAATTCTTTAGAAGAATAACCAGGCATATAGCAAAAGAAATGATAAGTTTTCAAAGTTGCAGTTAAGTTTTTTTCTTGCATATTGTGCTTTATTTTTCCTCCCTTGATTCTCTACCTTTCACACTCTGCCAACTACCCCCTTCTCCCACACTGTCTCTGGTATGTGCAGTTGTTTTCCATACCTTTTTTTTTCACATTTTATTGATTCACTGAAGATTTTTTTTTTTTTTTAATTTTATTTACTGATTATTACTCTTCTATTTGACCAGAGGGAGACAGAGAAAGAGAGGGAGAGGGGGAGCCACTAGATCCAGGACTTGAGCCATGGTCAACCATGTGGGAGTCCAGCACCTTAACCACCATGCCACCTGCCGGCCCCATTCACTGAAGATCTTAATTAATTTAAAGACTTTCAATAGCAAGTACAGCTGATATATACATATTTATGAACACATGTCTGACTTCAGATATAAACCTGAGTGAGTTAAGTGAACATACTATAAAGAAGCACCTCGCTGGAGCTATATGGTTTACTGCAGTCATTAAATAGGTATTAATAGGTATTTCTTAATGCATTTTTAATTAAACAAAGTTTTAGTTTTAATAGATTAAAATAAAAAAATGTTAAAAGAAATTTACTTAAAACTTAAAGCCAGGGAAAAGGTTAGGATTCAGTTCAAATAGGAGGTAGATGAACCTATTGACAGTTCAAGAGAAGACAAAAACCCTTAAATATGGAAATCAAAGCAGTGAAGAAAATCAGTAATGTTTTAGTCTAAAGTAAAAAAAATTCTATTTTACTAGTTCAGACTCAAGTAATTAATCTCTCTACTGAGTTTGCAGTGTTACTGTGGTCTGGTCTTTCCATTTAAATAAACTCGGGAGTTAACGTTCAGCTCCTGACGTGTCCCTACCATGAGGCTGGACGTCCTCTTGGTTGTTTCTTGTATTCTCATTTCTGTGTGTCCGACTTTAGTTTTCCTGGGATAGCACTCCTTTCAGCACTTCTTGGAGAGCTGGTCTGGTGCTGGTAAATTCTTCCAGGTTTTGTCTATCTGAGAATGTTTTTGTCTTTTTTTCCCCATATGAAAGATAATCTTGCTGCATACAGTATTCTTGGTTGAAATTGTTTTTCACGTAACACTTTGAATTTATTTCCCCAGTCTTTCCCTGCTCGCGTTATTTTCAATGAGAGGTTCGACGTTAGCCTAATGGGATATCCTTTGAAAGTAACTTGACGTTTCTCTCTTGCCAGTTTTAGTGTCTTGTCTCTGTGGTTTTGGTCATTCTGGCTATGATGTGCCTCAGGGGAGATCTTGGGTTAATAATATATGGGGACCTTTGTATTTCTTGGGTTTGAATATTTGAGTGCCTGTCTAAGTTTGGAAAATTTTCTTCCAGGATTTCACGGAATAGAAATGCCCTATTCGTTTCAATTCGTTTCTTCACCTTCCGGGATACTGATGATCCGGATGTTTGGGCTCTTACTGGTGTCTAGTCTTCTTGGATCTGGATATTTGAGTGCCTCTCTAGGTTTGGAAAGTTTTCTTCCAGGATTTCATGGAATAGAAGTCACATTTAAGTTTCTATAGGCCTTAGATTCTGTCCTCTTTTGAGACCTGCAAACTCCATATTCCATTTTCCTTCAGAGCTTTCGGTTTCATTTTTCCTCCTCTTGATCCTCTGATCCTCTTTGCATTGTGGAAGAAAAGGAAAGGATAATTTTTTTTTCTTTCCTTTTATCTTACTGGAGAAAGAGAAAGAGAGGAAAGTGAAAAAGCACCCCCTAAGGTGGGGAGGGGATGGTCACGCTGCAATCCCTTCTCTTCTTGGGTGTTTCTGCATATGCATGCCCACATGCCCGGCATGTTTTTTCAAGGCACTGAGTCGGGGGAACCTGACCTGTGCAGTGAGCTATGTGGGATCAAGTACCATAACCACCTTGCCACTGGCTTGCCTGGAAAGGAGATTTTTCACAGGTTAGAAGAGAAGAACAGGTGGGGGTCTTCATAAAGTTCATGGGACATGTGTATTGTAAAGAGAATGTGCACGGATTTCAGAAAACTTTTTGCATCAAAATAAACTTGAACTTTAATTTTATTTTTCTAGGAACATTTTTTTAAAAAGAATCATTTAAATTTATTTATTCATTAATTTATTTTAATTTGACCAGAGATAGACACAGAGAAAGAGAGAGGGAAAGCGAGAAAGCAAGCTCCCAGGTCCAGGACTCGAACCATGGTCAGCCATATGGGAGTGTCCAGCGCCTTAACTGCCACACCACCTGCTGGCCCCAGAACTTTGTCTTTTTTAAAAAGTACTTATTGTATGGGTAGGCAGGTGGCATGGTTGTTAAGGGTGCTGTACTCTCCCACATGACTGACCACGGTTTAAGACCTGGATCTGGTGGCTTGCTTTCTCAGTTTCCTTCTCTCTCTCTCATTCTGTCCCTCTCTGGTCAGATGAAAAACAAATAAATAAAGTTAAATGAAAGAATTCTTTAAAGAAGCTTTTTATTGTATTCTGATTTTATGTATTATTATTACTATTTAGTTTGCTATAGAACATGTACACACACCAGAGAGACATACAGAGAGACATGCAGAGAGAGAGAGAAAGTGAGAAAGCAAGTTTCCAGATCCAGGACTCAAACACTGGTCAGCCGTGTGGGAATCCAGCACCTTAACCAGCACACCACCTGGCCCTTCTAGGAACTTTTTCAAGTCCCCTTGTCTATGCTGAAATTGGAAAAGACTTTACCAGAGTTATCTTAGGCAAATTTTGCAAATTCTTTGAGCCCAGACCTCTTTTTTTTAATGAAATGAAGAGAATAAGTGACTTAAAACAGCTTCCCATAATGTTTTGAGTTATTTTACTTAATTTTGTCTATTATTATTCTTTTTAAAATTGGCTATAGGGCATGTGCACTCACCAGAGGGAGAGAGAGACAGAGAGAAAGCTGCTAATCTGAGACTTGAACTGTGATAGATCGTGTGAAACAAACAAAGGAAAGGCACCCTCTAGAGGGTCTCATCACTCTGTGGCCCCCTCTCCCAGCCCTCAGACAGAGTACAGAGCACCCACGCTCATTCCAAGCATGTTTTCTTTAAAAAAAAAAAAAAAAAGGATTATTTTATTTAACTTTATTATTATTATTTTTTGATTTGACCACGGAGAGAGAGAGGATAGTGAAAAAATGAGCCACCAGGTCCAGGACTCGAACCACAGTTGGCCACATGGCAGGCCGTCTGGGGCTCCCCAACACCACATC